AGAAAAAACCAGACTTGCTGAAAATGACTGAATGTTTAGCAGAACAGTATAGATCATTTTATTGTGAATTACCTGCACATGCAACTTAATGTGATTTTGTTTATCTAGTATGTAAGTTTTATTGAGAATAAATTTTTTTACTTTTCAGTTTTTCGTATTTTCATTTACTGTAATTTTGGGACATTTTAATAATGCTCGTATTTTTCTATGTTAAAAATGTTGCAAGGAATATCGTTTATAAGCACAATCAACGGAAAAATATTGCATGTGCGTTAACACTAGGTACACATGCAACGTTTTTCTTCTACAAAAAATTTCTTTTTGGTTTTTTTGCGCTCATTAGTCTTTTTTTCTGTGTTATTTATATTCAAAGTTTTTAATTTACTAGTAATATACATAAGCAACACTTAAATTTACAAAATTTGGTAAATAATATTATCAAAATCGTTTTTTGTGATTATCTAAAAAGTTTCATTTTGTCGTTTGCAACGTTTTTCCGGGCAGGTCTCCAATTGATCGAAAATGTCTATTTTTGCTTTAAAAAGTTCAACAAAAAAATTACCTGATTTTCACTAAATGTTATTTTTCCTTTAAAAGTTAAAAGTTCTGGGGTTGGAACTGGACTCAAAACTTACTACAAAACAACAACTGCATCTCACAAACTGTGAAGATAGTCTGGAATGGCCGGGGACAAATGAAATGAGTATGGAATCTGGGCACTGGGATGCAGTCTTCAAAACTTGGATATGTGGGTATCTTTTAAACTTATTAGGAACGCCGTCCTACAAATCCCTCAGATGAGACACGGCACGAAAACAAAACAGTGATTACTTTGACAAAACTTGACATATTACATTCAAGTATAATTCACGTTTTTACTAACAAATTTGCCGGTTTCTTCAGGCGACCCACGCCGCGTCTTGTTTCTTCAAAATCTTTTTCCAACCTCCCTGTTTCGTTACCCTTCTCAACCTCCTCCTCTTCGTTCCATTTCAAACCAAAAAACCCAAAATATTCCCCCTCCTGACCTAAATCTAATATGGGCGTGGGCGACCCCCTTTACCTTAAAATTCTTGTTTTTAAAACAGGCCTCAACTATTTTACAAAGCGACTTTCAAATAAACTACTTTTTTATATTAGGGGGCATCATGAAATATAATTCCTTTATGCGACAAAAAACTTGCCGAAATAGATATAACACAATACAAATTAACAAAATAGCACGTAGTTTTTAAACCGGAGTTCTACCTGACTTTGTAACAAAAGGTTATGGGATTTGAAAGTACACATAGACAAAAAATATATCCAGCGTTATTTACGCATTTAAGATTTTCGTAGAAGACAAACACAGCTTTTATGGCAATCTTTATGCGTACTGACGAGATAAACGAACAGGGACGTATTATAAAAATTTAAAACGCTACATCACATCGACTCCAACCGTTGGATGTAGCTTTTTTACTCCTCGTTAAAATCATCGTATAACATTGAATGTGGCAATTATCTTCGAAGGCATCCTCATGAGCGTATCACGACATTTGAAAGCTGAAATATTTGAAAATTCATACGCTCGCGTAGCCACACCAGTCAAACCCGTTAAAGGTTTTGAGCATACAGGAATATTTTCATATAATCCTGAAAATTTTACCGATGAAGACTTTGCTCCAGGTGAATCATTCATACAATAAAAAAATAAAAAGACACTAGACCAAGAGAAAAAAGTGGATTAGATAAGGAGAAGAATAATAAGAAAGTTAAGGGGAATAAAGAAAGTTCGACACATAACAAAAAGTTTGAAGTACCTTTTGTTGACATAATTCCACTATCAGGATGCTCTAAAGATGACTCAGTTGGAAATAAAATATCCAACCACTAAAGCAACAGAAAGCAACATTCCGAAATAATGAGATCAACACCAATGAAGTTACTTCTAGAAGAAAAACAGCGGAAGAAGGAAGAGCAAATGAGAAATAAAGCCAGCAAAGGAACCAAACGAAAAATGCTATCGAAGAGTCCAGTCCTCCACGAATAGTTCCAAAAATAAATTGTATAAGAACAAAGAAGATCACAAAAGATATATTATCTGAAGATGAGGATGATGACGATGACCTTGATAGGGACATTAACGAAGATATTTGCACAATTTGTGGCGAATTCGGTAAAAACAATGAAGAAAACTCTGGATCCAATGCAGCATTTGCGGCCAATGGGCACACAAAGACTGTACCAGTTTCGAAGGCAAAATTTACATTTGCGATTTCTGCACTTAATTATTTTTTAAATGGGGGTAATAGTGGCAGTAGCCACTTTTACCCCTCGGCAGCAGGTAAATATGGCCACCAGCAGAAGTCTGAAAAATCGTTTTAATTTTTTTTTTTGTTCTGTTTAAGGTTTGAAGTTTTATTTATGTTAACAGTATAATTTTTAAAGCTATGTACCAGTATAAATAAACCAAAATGCTTAGGCGTTTCCCCCCCCCTTTCCCCTACATTAACAAAATACACAAACACTCAATACCTGACAATATATTACAATTTTTATAACCTAATTGCAATTTTAAAACCTTATGTAACTATTAAAAGGGCATTAATAGAATTAACAAATTATAAATAATTGATGGATTCGACCGTTACTTGATGGAAATTCATTTTATGTAACAATAACACTGAAAACTTTGTTTCCAAACTTCCACAAAATTTATTTTAAATCTTATCACTACAGCTGTTTCGGCTGACAGCCTTTCTCAAGTGATCTATTTTTGGCTTGGGTTTACAAATTTATAGTCTCTAATGAAACAGGTTGAGGAGGGGAGAACTGTTTGTCTCAAGTTGGTCATTCAGAATTATATCTGTGTTTTTTAATTTGTTGATTTCCATAGATTCTAACAAAGATAGCTTAAGGCCTTTATTTTGAATGTGAAGAATTTAAAGTTGTCATTAAAAGAATGGTTATGATCTAGAAGGTGAAGTGCGTATGTCGAATCTGTTTTTCTATTCTTGAAAGCCCTTTTATGTTCTGCTATTCGTTTATCAAAGTTTCTACCAGTTTGACCGATGTAAGTTTTTGGGCAGTCGCCACATTGAAGTTTGTACACACCACTATTTAAGTGTTTTTTATTTTGGCTCTTGTTATTTTTAATATATTTGCCTAGGTTGTTATTTGTTCGGAAAGCTGGTGTTATTCCTATATTTTTTATGTGTTTGGCAATTTTTGTTGTTATTTTACCTGTATATGTAATCAAGCAGAAGGTACTGGGTTTTTTCTCTGGTGGTGGAAATACTAATTTCAGGGCTTTCTTGTGTAGTTTTTGATTTAACATTTTATTAATTGTTTGTTCGTTGTATCCGTTGTTTACTCCTATTTGCTTAATTATATTTAATTCTGTCCCAAAGTTGTCTTTTGACATCGGAATTTCTGTTAATCTATGTAACATACTATGATAAGCTGCCAGTTTATGTTGTGTTGGATGGGATGATGAATTGTGTATAGTCGTGTCAGTATGAGTAGGTTTATGAAATATGGAGAAGTCATGTTTGTTTTGAAGTCTGCTAATTTTTAAATCTAAAAAATTTATGTCATGTTTGTTTTGAAGTCTGCTAATTTTTAAATCTAAAAAATTTATGCACTGATTTTGTTCTGTTTCTATTGTAAATTCAATATGACTATGAAGTGAATTAATATACGATAAAAATTGGTCGAGTTGCCTGGTGCTAGTATCCCTACTACAGAAACTTTTATTCTAGTAAAAAACCTTTTAGACCAAAATAGTACAAATCCAATAGTTACATCTGAAATCTTACATCTTCTTGAAATTTGCATAAACCAGGACTACTTTGAATTTAATAATAAAATATATACAAATAACAGTGCAGGACTTATAATGGGTAATCCTCTAAGCCCATTGCCCCTCATATATTTTTATTGATCATCTAGAGACAAAGATTTCAAAACATCCCGTATTCAAACAGTTTTTATATTGGTGGAAATACGAACCTAACCTACTCATACTGACACGACTATACACAATTCATCATCCCATCCAACACAACATAAACTGGCAGCTTATCATAGTATGTTACATAGATTAACAGAAATTCCGATGTCAAAAGACAACTTTGAGACAGAATTAAATATAATTAAGCAAATAGCAGTAAACAACGGATACAACGAACAAACAATTAATAAAATGTTAAATCAAAAACTACACAAGAAAGCCCTGAAATTAGTATTTCCACCACCAGAGAAAAAACCCAGTACCTTCTGCTCGATTACATATACAGGCAAAATAACAACAAAAATTGCCAAAAACATAAAAAAATATAGGAATAACACCAGCTTTCCAAACAAATAACAGCCTAGGGAAATATATTAAAAATAACAAGAGCCAAAATAAAAAAACACTTAAATAGTGGTGTGTACAAACTTCAATGTGGCGACTGTCCAAAAACTTACATCGGTCAAACTGGTAGAAACTTTAATAAACAAATAGCAGAACATAAAAGGGTTTTCAAGAATAGAAAAACAGATTCGACATACGCACTTCACCTTCTAGATCATAATCATTCTTTTAATGACAAATTTAAAATTCTTCGCATTCAAAATAAAGGCCTTAAGCTATCTTTGTTAGAATCTATGGAAATCAACAAATTAAAAAACACAGATATAATTCTGAATGACCAACTTGAGACAAACAGTTCTCCCCTCCTTAACCTATTTCATTAGAGACTATAAATTTGTAAACCCAAGCCAAAAATAGATCACTTGAGAAAGGCTATCAGCCGAAACAGCTGTAGTGATAAGATTTAAAATAAATTTTGTGGAAGCTTGAAAACAAAGTTTTCAGTGTTTTATTGTTACAATTATAAATAAGGTTTATGTTTTATAAATCCTAATATTTTTTAACACAACTGAAATTGTAATTTGCTTTTTAATTTTACTTAAAATAAACGTAGTATCCGGTCTATTTTACGCAGCAGTGTATATAACTAAAAGTTCCTTACCTTTCATCATGTCAATAATTCCAGTTAGGACTACATCTTTGTAGCTACCGTTCTTTGGTGGATCTTTCTCTTCAAATGCGCTCACCATAGTAACACTATGTCCGGCATTGGCTAAACCTTTCGCTAATGCATTTCCTAAGATATAATGGCTTGGAACTGGACTCGGGAAAACTACTAAAATTTCATAACCGCTCACATTGCTTATTATTTTTAATAGAAGAATCAGAAATAAGTGTGCCCTCATTTTCTTGTCAACGTTAGCTGCGAATCAGCTTGGGATTGCCTTGAAACAAATTAATAAATGATTAACAAGTCAACAATTGTTACGTTTTTAATAACAGATTATTAAAACTAAAATTACACATTATGTACTTATAACTGAATAAATTGTTGTGTTATCATGATACTACAAGCGGCGTAGAAGATTGTCGACAAAGGTTAATCTATAAATTGATAAATGATATTTTTGCAAACACTAATCAGGATATCCTTAAAGCGATCAAATAAATTTGTAGGTTTATAGAGGAGGACAACGTAGGTGTACAAGCTATGTTGTATAATATACAGATTGAACCAAATTAAAACGGAACATACAATTTAATACATGTCTGTTTGAACTGCATTTGAAATAGTGGACCAATATAAAACTTGGACAAAAATAAATCCATACCTGGGTATAGACATTGTATAAAATATCGTTCAACTATCTGTCTCGCAACAAAGTTGTTTGCGTAAGACGGGTTTGTGTAAGGAAGCGATAATAGTTCAGGAAATGAAGCTCGAAAAAAGTTGAAACCTCGCAATTTTTTCGTCATGCATGTATCCAGTTGAAATTTTAACAGAAGGTAGGTGATAGCCCAAGGATCAAAATCTATATCGAACCGAAGTGCGCTGAAAGGTTTTAGCGGTGAAAACTACCCCTAATTGTCAAAAATTATAAAATAACATATTAAACCTGAATATGGGTAAGATTTGGTTTGAATTAGTTAAATAATGATTCTTTTATACTTTTGAATAGAGTTCCATCATATTTCAACCCTTAAAAAGCAACCCTTGTTAGAGATTAAAGTAAAAAAATTACTAATTCTAAAAAAATGATTTCGCCTTAGATCGATTTGGATAGAAATTTAGAATTAAGCTCAATTCACCCGCTGCTTTATAGTTTATGTCATGTCGACGAACCCTGACTGTTCTTAGGGGTGAAAACTACCCCTAATTGTCAAAAATTATAAAATAACATATTAAACTTGAATATGGGTAAAATTTGGTTTGAATTAATTAAATAGTGATAGTTTCGTGCTTTTGAATAAAGTTCCATCATACTTCAACCCTTAAAAAGCGACCCTTATTAGAGATTAATATAAAAAAATTAGTAATGCGAAGAAAATGATTTCACCTTGGAACGATTTGCATAAAAATTTGGAATTAAGCTCAACTCACCCTCTGCTTTATAGTTTATGTCATGCCGATGAACCCTGATTGTTCTTAGGGGTGAAAACTACCCCTAATTTTCAAAAATTGTAAAATAATATTACAAATCTTAAGATGAGTAAAGTTTGGTTTAGGTTAGTTAAATAGTGATACTAACTAACTACCCCTAATTTTCAAAAATTGTAAAATAATATTACAAATCTTAAGATGAGTAAAGTTTTTTTATACTTTAAAATACAAATTCATACATTTTCAACCCTTAAAAATTAATTGTTATAAGTGCTATAGGTGAAAACAATTTTTTGCCAAAATTTTGCAACTTTTCAACTTTTGAAAATCACCCTTTACCACATTGCAGTTTTTATAAACTAATTTATAAGATATAAATTGAAAAAAGTAGAATTAAATACAAAAAAAATTATCAACATAAAAAGGCACCATATATTCTTATACATTTACATAAATAGTTGAAAATATTTACATTTATAGGTAAAACAATTATAATATTAATTTTATTCGTCATCAATTACATCTTCATCGTAATCTATGTCATCCTCATCTTCTTCAATTATTGGTGGACTGTTATTGCACCCTTCACCTGAGCACCCAGAACAAGTAGAGTTACAGTATCAACCAACTTTTCTGCACCCACATGAAACGCCGCATCCTTTTTTGCATTGGCAAAAAATAATTTTCAAAAGTTCATCGGGTGTAGATTGTTTGTTCATGCGTACGGGTAATAATAAACCATCTTTGGAATACCATCCCCAATCTGTTGCTCTGATATTTTCATTGCCAAGCCATAGACATATGAGCAGATGTTTTATTCTGTTGTATGGGATTTCAAAATGAGAACGCTTAAAATTTCGAATGTATAACGCCCCACTAGCTAATATACCGGTTTTGTATATTATTATGCTCCGAAATGTACTGTACTATACTAATGGAATTTTCCGGAAAAAAATTAACTTGTTTTTTTAACGTATTTCCTTTAAATTTTAACGATAGAGTGTTTCTTCAAAAACGATTTGTAGAGGTTTTTAAGAGCTACAAGGACCTGTGAATTAAATCTTTTTGGAACCCTTGGTTTTTAAATGGGGTGAGTTTAAAGGGCTCGAAAAAGATGGTGCTTGATCGTAAATCGATGCTTTAAACGGCTATATCTCGCCAAATATTCATTGTACAACAAATCTAATTAAAGGATAATTTTAGTCATTAAAAAGTCTACAATTTGGTAGTTTTTATTTTTTTCATATATTCAGTATTTTCGGGCATATTTAAAAAAAGAAGGGTAAAAAATATGAAATTGTAAATCGTTTCTTGTTTTAAGCTGTACTTTTTCTAAAACTAAACATTTTAAATGGGTCAAACTTCTTGGACGTATTAACAATACATGTACAAAGGGAATTGCAGAAGGGTGAAGATCGATTTTAATTATGGGTGTGGTTAGGGGGTTGTTTTCATCGATTTTTTCGTAAAAAATGAGGTATTGACCTTATTTTCATCATAACACTCAATTTTTGAGCTAGATGTTTTTTTATGATAGGTCTATTTATGCCCTTTAAAAAAGGTTTTGTGAGTTTTCTTCCAAAAATGCATCATTTTCCCGATATTTTACTTTGAATCTTTCAAATTTGGCATTTGAAGAAAACCGCTGAACATTGATAGGCCGTATTTCGGTTCCTAATATATCGCAAAACATTTTAAAAAATGAATTGTATTTGTCTTTTTAAAAGCTACAAATTTGTTCTCTACAATTTTTTTGATAAAATGCACTATTTTCGAGTTATTCGCGAAAAATCGATTAAAAACGTGGATTTTTTCGTCTAAAAGTTGTTACTTTCAATCGCGAATAACTTGAAAAATATCATTTTATAAAAAAAATGTATAGCACATTTTTTGTTTAGAATCACTTTTTTAATCGAAACCTGTAGTTAAAACGTAAAAAAAAACTTCACCCCGGAGATGGGGTGGCAACCACCCCCTAGGCTTTGGCGCACTTTGGTTCGATATAGATTTTGATCCTTAGGCTATTACCTATCTTCTTTTAAATTTCAAGTCAATCTACGCAGCACGAAAAATTGCGAGGTGAAATGCTTCATTTCCTGGACTATAACTGGTTTGACAGCATAATAAAATCGTAGATTTATGTGTAGCTTTCAATTTTTATGAGTTCAGAATCCAGCAGCCCGCTGAAGTATGGGATTTTTATAATATAATTATTTGACAGTCTTTTGTTGGCCAACCACCTACAGCAGAATTGAGCCGAAATACATTATATTCCTATGTTCCGAATTTATTTCGTTCAATCTGTATAGTTATGGATAACAGGGTTTGAAGACAATAGGAGTGTCACTATAATACGAAATAACAAATGATGATACCGGACCACCTATTTTGACAAAATTAAAATAATACTCCACATCGTTTACGGGGGGGGGCATTGTTGCGAAGAGGTGTCGGAAGACCCAGTCTTATCAAAACTCAAGCAAAAATTAAAACGAAGAAAAGATAGACCATGCATATGTGTGCAACGTGGAATATACAAGCATGTAACAAAAAGGCAACGGAAGTGATCAAGGAGTTTCTCCTGAAACATCGAGACGAAGCAGAACTAATCTGACTTGACAATGGCAAGTGTGACCTTGCCGAAACGTCGTCAAAACAATGGTTTTTCAAAAAACCAAAACTATTTAACGCGGAGTCAAACCCAGAAAACAACTTAAATCACATATAGCTCCCGCGGAAATTTCAAATCTAATATATATATATATATATATATATATATATATATATATATATATATATAAATAAATATATATATATTGTCATACTTTTTCTTTTCCAACCAAAGAAAAATAAATAAAAAAATCCATCGAAATAAAATTTCAAGATATCAATATAAACAAATTGTATATAGTAATTTAAGAAAAGATTTAGTGTAGATAAGAATAGAAATTTGTTTGGCAAACGACCTTTTTCCGTTTCAAACAAAATTATCAAAAAACCTTTGTTTAGAATTAGAAGACATTTTACCTGTAAGTTAATCTTTTCATTGTTTGTATAGTCGAGTATTAAATGACCATATTTTAATCTTTTGAAATATGTATAAATGATGTATTGAAAAAAAAACCAATTTTAAAGTAAGCTATTTAGTTTTCTCTGAAACCGAAATTAGGCTTTTCCAAAATCATGGTAAACACAATTTAAGCTTTTTGATTGGACGGTCGTTTTTAAATGGGAATTTGGTGAGTCGATCATGAGAGAGGAGAAGTTAGTCATATTTTGGTCATCGAAAGAAAACAGTCGTTTGTCTCAAGATAGGGTGTGGTTCGTGAGTTTGGATACCGGCGTAACGAAAAGAAGTGAATAGTTTGAAGAAGGAGATAACAAGTGGATTAAAAGAGGTCCTTGTATCTACCGTGGGCATTTTATAAAGTATATGTGAAAGTATTCTTACGGCAGCAAGTTGACAAAAGGAGGTCCTGGTGTCATAAATAAGTAGCGGAGTTTGGAGAAGTGAATCAGGTGTTTTTTGTGTAGTCTGAAGGAGGTTTGCAGAGACGTAAAGAAGGAGCCGAGGTGCCAAAGAGGGGAGATCACATATTTGAGGAGACTGGACTTTTCTGGGTATGTTCCAACATACAACTCAAGAAGAAAATAAACTGTAAGTGTTTGTACAATTGAATTTTATATCTGTGAAGGATCGTTTCGACATCATGGTCATTATCATTAAAATTTAAGAACTGAGGTTTTGTTAGGCTAATCAAAAGTTTAAAGTTTTGTGGTTTCTTTTTTCAAGTAAAGAAAATTTTAAGTAAAATTGGTTTTTCACGTAATATAAATGTATGTAGCTTTATAATCTTATTATCATAATAATTTGATTTATTTTCTTGTATGCTGATTGATAAGATAACGACAGAATTTAATAATTGTTTTATTCGTTCATATAAAATAAAGAAACGTAAATCTTTGTAATATAATATATTTGTATTCTTATCCTTTTCTTCTCTATCCCGATAAAAGACAACTAGAAAACCTTTTGAATCCATCGAACACAGGTAATATAAGGATTATTTTACTTTTGATAACAAATAAGTTATAATTCTTTTTTATTGGCTCAATAAACTAAGTTTGAACTCAAAATAAACAATCATAACAATATATATATATATATATATATATATATATATATATATTATATATATATATATATATATATATATATATATATATATATATATATATATATATATATATATATATGTTCGGATAGATTTCCGCGGTCAGATGAATGAAAATCACTAGGTTCTCGGGAAGAACCGCGTTGAGAATTTGATGCTTGACGTTTCGGCTCCCGTTTTGGAGCCATTATCAAGAGGGATACGGTTCGGTCCGAGTTCGGGGTCTCAATCTGCCTACTCCCCTCACTCGACACGTACCAGTATCGTGTTCTGTATTATAAATACAAGAACTGTCTCTCGGCACTGAGGTCTCAATCTGCCTACTCCTCAGTGTCACTCGACACGAATTATCTCTATCTTTGTTGAGGCCACACCTTTCAGAACGAGCTGAAATACAGAGTTTGCCCTTAGATTTAAAACTATTCCTGAAGAAATATAAAGCTACTGTAGTGGAACAAGAAGAAGAACCACAAGCAAAAATACGAGGAAGGTGCTATTGCTGCGGAAGGCGTAAAAATAGAATGACAACCATTTCGTGCCAGACATGCAAGAGAATGGTTTGCAAAGAACATTCCACCATTATTTGTCCTGAGTGTTTTAACTCAAATAACCAGGAAGAAGACGAAAGTAAATAAAGACTCGTATGTGTTTATTTTTCTACCTAGTTAAAAATTTAAAAATTTTCGCATATTTTTTAGGTTGGTGTTTCAATATGTAATAAATTACTGTTTTCATTTTTTCTCACTGGTTTACCATTTTGAATTATTTTCTAGTTTTATTTTTTAGCTACTCTAACGCAAATATAAAAGAAATAATCTTAATTTTCGCTTCTCTTCAAAGTTTTTACTAAAAAAAACAACAAGGACTAAATTACAGAAAAGATAGTTAAGATTTGATTTCAGTATAGTGCTTCTACTATTCGCTTATACTAGAACTAAATTATTAAAATGTCTTGAAATTATAATATGTAAACAAAATGACAAACTTACTATAGGTACACAAAGTGTTGCACAAATCGGATGCAAGACTGATGCTACTAACTGATAACTAGAAAACTGATAAAGGTTTAAATATAATATGAACGTAGAGATTATTGTAAACTATAAAATAATTTATTTAAACCGGTTAGTTATATTTACCTTCGGAAAAATGCTAATATGTTAAGAATCAAGGTTGATATGAAGCGCTATCTAAAAACGTAAACGTTTAGTAATCTGCTAAAAAAGTTTTGTTTATATGAATAAATTACTTTATAATTAACAAATTAAATATGTATTTGACGTTCTGAATTTTAAAATGACTTAATTGAACCACTTCCTAAACCCTTCATCTTATACCGTTGACAAACGCCAAAGTTAGTGATTATATTAAGATTAATTTTTGTATTGTAGGCCAGGGTCGATAGTTTTTGAGATTAAAAAATAGTAAGAGGATCTAATCCACTGTAAAAGTGTGATGTCCCTAGTTCAGAGGATGTTCTGCAATAAGTCATACATTCTTCTGAGCAGTAAAAGTAATGTTTCAGCAGATATTTTTTTATAACGTTTCGAAAATATTATAAACTAAGCTGTTTAATATTTTTTGATAAAATATTGTAATAGTTATAATTAAGGCAATTTTTATCTGAAATACGCAATCTACAGCGATTTGTTCGTAAGTAGGTACCTAGTGACACAAGGATCTACAGACCGAGAGTTTGGTACAAATTCCACGGCTTCGCGCAATCGTACTTGTAAGTTCGTATAGTCGGCTGGAGTTACAATTTGCCAAATTTAAATGTAATCGTTTCTACTCATTTATATTATTATTATAATGTATAATATATTAAAGTTTTTAATATTGGTAATATTATTAAAGCTTTTAATATTATTTTTTAATATTAATAATAATATTAAGTAATTAAATATTGCGCCTTGCTTAAAAAACGTATGAGATAAATAACTCGTTTTTTTATATAAGAGTGCAATTTTCTTGCAAATGCCTTGAGAGGGGAAATTTCCAATATAACACCAACCAAAAGACAAAAATATTAACTTAGGTATATGCAATCATTATCACTGCTTAGCGTATTTTCATGGAAATCAACCGCTGTGCTGACTAGTATTTTTTTTTTAATTGTGATGAATAAATAAAGTATATATTAAATAAAGGGTATTTTAAATAAATTTGTAATATTTTATACGAAAAGAAGAATTATTTAATTGTAATTATATATTTTCTTTAATTGTGTTAAGCTACTCGGATGTGAGTCGTTGTTATAATTATTCAAAAAAATTAATTAACAATATTTTTTATTAAATCAAATGAGAAATATTATAGCAAATTAAGAACTAAGGAAAAAAACAAATTTTCATTTCCTAGCAAATTGTTTCTGAACACTTAGAAGATTAAAACTTCCAAATAAAATTTGGATAATATTGTAAAGGCTTTTATACACTGAAATTAAATTAAAAAAAAATGAAAAAAGTGGAAAAATAATAAAAAATTCCCAAATTTAAATTTATCTCGAAAACAAAATACGATCTGGAAAAAGAATACCGGAAATCATGAATGTGTTGCTTGTGTGAGTCCATTTCAAATAGGTAAAGAAATAATAAATAAGACTTACTCACAATCAATTTAATTTAACTATCAGACGACCGGTTTCGCTTTCTACAATATGCAAAGCATCCTCAGGTCTCGATACAAAGTTAAACAAATGATGCCGGTACTCTATTAATAGATGGATGGCAGAACATGGTTGAAACTACTTTATATTGTTGAATGGAGAACTCAATTCTATCACTGCAGTTGTTTGACAGTAAACGGAAAGTTCTTGAGGAGATAGATTTGATCCAATGAATTAGAGATATGTGTGAGATTGTTTGTTAAATGTAAGTGATGTAATATACTATTGTGTTATTAAAGGCTATTTATACTTATTCCAGAGATATATTTTTTTTTGAAATGTGTGTTATTTATTGAGTAATTGTTTTTTTGAAGGTGATAGTTTTATGACAATGAATAGGTGTAGATGTAAAGATTGTGTGGGTGTGCAATTATTTTCACAACTTGTAGTTATCAAATTACTTTGATAAAGTTCTATTGGCAATGAGTTAATTATTGGAATAGTCAAGTAAATAAAATGTTAAAATACAGACAATTAAGAATAATTTAAACACACTAAAACAGAAAACACTTAGAAGGGACGAAACAAACATTGAATTTAAAAGGGGGAAGGACTTTAATGCACTGGGCACAATGAGTTTTTTTATAAAAAAAAACAGAGACTATGATGTAGTGCATTGTCATAGTGACAGTTTCGCGTAGGTATTGTGAACGTGAACATCAGACTGCTTTATTAAATGGGTCCGTTTTCTGTGAATTTCAGTCAGAACTTGAAATATCAGGGGATGCTCAATTTGAACAGGGATGCCCAAATAGACAACAGAGGAAAGATTTTTAATAAATCATCCCAAATTCTGGCATATGCAGATGATGTTGACCTAGTTGCCCGCACAACACGCAAACTAGAAAAAATGTATACCACCTTGTCAAATGCCTCAAAAAATATGGGCCTGCAAGTAAATGAGGAGAAAACTAAGATAATAGCATCAACATCCAACAATAGAGTCAGAAACATCGGCCACCAATTCCATGGTATTTACAATTGACAATTGTCATAAAACTGCCTCTTTCATTACATAAATACTCAATAAATAACACATATTCCAATAAATATATCTCTGATATAAGTGTAAATAATTTAAATAATACAATAGTAAAGAACATCACTTTCATCTGACAAACAACCACAATATACCTATCTCTAATTCATTGGATCAAATCTGTTCTCCTCAAGAACTTCCCGTTTATTGTCAAAACAACTGCAATAGCACATTAAAGTTCTCCAATCTACAATATATGATTTTTGCAACCATGACCTACCATCCATCAATTAATAGAGTACCGGCATGTAAGTAATGTTTGTTTTGTTTTATTTATCTGCTCATTTATTAATTTATTACAATATAATATTACTTCTTTATACCAATTGTGGGTCTTACCTTGTCTGTTAATACCTTTTATATATTCAAATTTATTCATTTTGAAAACCACAGACATGTAATATTGGCATAATTACTATAATTTGTATGAACTAACTTATTTATTTATTTTATCTTCATTAGACACCACCCTAATTGGGTATATTTTATTGCAGCATTAGTTTAACTTTGTATCTGGACCTGAGGATGCTTTGCAAATTGTAGAAAGCGAAACCGGTCGTCAGATTGTTAAATTAAATTGATTGTGAGTAAGTCTTATTATTATTTCTTTACCTATTCTTTTTTCTGTTAAATGTGTGTTTTCAACCAGTTTGTTAGTTCACCTACTTAGAAGGATATACCATAAAAATTACAAAGTTATTCTATGTATGTTTATTCACAAACCAACATTACTTTTTAACGGCTTATTTAAAGTTTTTTACTTTCCTTTATAGTTTTAATATAGCCTAATTATCAAAGTGTTATATGTCTTATACTTACGGTCTTTATTGCAAAGATTATTACAACAAAACTGATTTTTTGTAATTATATCGGCAAATAATTGATGGATTTGAACTTGCAAAATTTCAAACTAACCGTGTCTTTACTTTTGTCTAATATTACCCCAATATATTTTACTTTACCCACCATATTAATATGTATACCGTTTAAACTTAGGGGTCAGTTCCTATAAATTCCCACTTTACGAGAGGTTCTGAGTCATTTTATATTTTGCTTTGACGTTTCAATTTCCTATCCGAAAATCGTTTTCAAAATTTTTTTCTGTTTATTTACGATTAGAATCTGGTAATAAATGACCAATGAGCAATTTTAATCTATCCTAAATTACTAAACTTGCTTGAAATCAAGAGTTTATATTATGGTATTCTCTTAATGCCTTAAAAAAAGCCAATGCAAAGGTGTGCAATGAACATCGCACCATAGCCTTAACGGGTCATGTCTTGAAATTGTTTTTAAAAGTAATTCACAATAGAATACATAAGAAATTAGATGAAGGCATAAGTAATACACAAATGGGATTTAGGAAAGGACTGGGAGATGCACTGTTTGCAGTAAGTGTTCTTACTAAGTAAGTATATGCCTGTTTCATTGATTTTGAGAAGGTCTTTGAGAGAGTGCAGCATAATCGACTTAAAAAAAAATTATTAAGTAAAAACATAAACAGTAGAGACATTAGAATCTTATGTAACCTCTATTGGAACCAAACAGCAAAAGTGAAAGTTGAAAATGAACTGACCGAGGATATCCAGATTCAACGTGGGGTCCGCCAAGAGTGTATTTAATCACCCTTATTAGGTTATTCAATTTATACAGTGAAGCCATCTCAGAATTAGCGCTTGCCGAGGTCAGTGGGGGGCATATAATAAACGGTGAGCCACTTAATAACATAAGATATGCTGACGACACCGTCCTTCTTGCAGGAGCACTAAAAGAACTGATACACCTTGCTGAACAACTAAATATATATTGCAACGATTATGGATTGAAAATAAATTTGAAGAAAACAAAGTTCGTGATATTTACAAAAGCACAAAACATCAAAGTTAAGCTAGTACTAGATAATACAGAAATTGAACATAAATATCTTCATACAAATACCTTGGTGCATGGATCACAGAAGATACTGATCAGACAAAAGAAATAAGATGCCGCATTGAAATTGCGCGGTCAACTTTTAATAGAATGAGAAAACCTTTTTGTAATCGCTCCGGATAAGAATGCTTCGATGTTATATTTTCTCTACCCTTTTGTATGGGGTTGAAGCATGGACACTTAAAAAATCACACATTAAAAACCTAAAAGCATTCAAAATGTGGTGTTATCGAACAAACGAACAAGTTATCGAACAACTAGGAAAACAATGCGAAGTTTTAAATTCCATAAAAATCAGGAAATTGGAATACTTGGCACATCATGAGAGGTGAAAAATACGAACTACTAAGGAATATAATGCAGGGTAAAATCAAAGGCGGAAGAAGCGTAGTAAAACATAAAATCTAGTGGCTACGCAACCTCTGTGAATGATTTGGATGCAGCTCAATTGAACTATTCAGGCGCGTGACCAACAAAATTATAATTGCCAGAATGATTTCCAATCTCCGATAGGAACGGAACTTGAAGAATATAAGCTCTACCGTTTTTACTAAAGTGAGCCATAAACGCTTTTTCCGTGAGGTGTTTAACAAAAATTTCAATTTAGGCTTTCATACACTACATACAGATGTGTTCCACGTATTTATCACTAAAGGAAAAAAACTATCTTGAGGGGTGAGAAAGCCAATTTAATATGTCAAAAAACAATCAATAAGCTAAGAGCTAGGGCATTCTATAATTGACTGAAGGAATAACATACCAACATAATCACTTTCTCCTTTGACCTTCAGAAAAGCCTGTCCTTGGCTTTTAACAATATACAAAACGTCAGTCGGCAGAATTTGCTTGAAATTCATTTTGATTCAAAATCAAGGTTGGATTTTGAATCAAAGTGTGAAGTGTGTGTGAAAAAAAGTTACCACAGAATTTCACGGTTCCTGTAAAATTGGTAAGGTGGAGATTAGTAACACATATTCTGTAATGTCATAATTTTGTTATCGCTCTTTTCAAATCGTCTTTGTTCCCGCCTATAAAAATGAACTTTTATAAGTTATCATCATTTTTCTCAATATTATATTTTCACTGTTTTCCTCTACTCTTTATATTGTTTTCATCGGTTTTATTGCTTAAATATTTTCTCCATTTATTTAACGCCTAATTTCATCCAACCATCAAAGTTATTTTGTTTTTACTATTGCAAAACATTTTTTTGGCGTATTTAATGCTTGCCATTCATTCTTCAATTATCTTAATTTATAATTCTTTATTGTTTGCTTCAGCATTCCTGCATACTGATAATATTGCTAAAAAACAGACAATGGTCGCTGTTTATTTCGGATCTACATCACACTCTTACATCAGTTATCTCTTCTTGTGTACCTTGGGTATGGAGTAAAGTCCTCTTAGTAATAAATTAAAACAAAACTAGACCATAAGATGAATTGTGGGGATGAGTAAGATGTTATTAAATAAAGAAACAAAATTATTTATTGACTTAACCTATTTTATTACTTTTACATACTGAAATTATAAATAAGTCTTGTACATCCACTGTGGAAAATAAAACTTGATTTTACACTCATGTAATATAAATATTACAGGTATTCATAAGAACAATTTTAGACAGCCAATTTTTAATCATTCAGTATCTTTAAATCTATTTGGCTTGGACCAGTTAAATAAATCAATTAGCACTGTCTAATATTGTCCATAAATTGTCCGAAAAATGTGCAATTATCACTGAATAAAACCATTACACTCGGCAATGTTACAACATAGAAAAGGAAGGACATAAATCTTTTAATATGGTCGTGGTCTCCTATCTCCTCCTCGATCGCCGCCATCACGGCCACCGCCACCTCTGAAAAAGAACCATTGTTATTTATTATATCTTAACTTCAAGCATATTCGTATATCAATTTTATTATAATCACTTTTGAGAAGAAATAGAATGTGTGTTTCTCTAGACAGGATACACCACAAAACTATTTTTAAGCTTAGAGTGTGTTTTAATAGAGATTTTCTATGCTCCTATCATAAAATCATAAGAAACTATCATAAGTCTCCCCGAGAGCGGATAGGAGGTAACAATATTAAGATTTTTTATTACAAAAAATTAAGTGTTATTTATGCTGACATATTTTAAGTAATATTACCTTCCGCCACCACCTCGTCCACCGCCAAATCCTCCTCTTCCGCCGCCACCGCGACCTCCTCCAAATCCGCCTCCTCGACTACCTCTGTCGCGGAAACCGCCTCCACCACCACCTCGTCGATCTCTATCACCACCATCGCGATCTCGTCCGCCGCCGCCGCCGCCTCTTCTGTCATCATCGCCACCGCCTCCGGCACCTTCTGGTTTGGGTTCACTACACCTGTTACATTGGCTTCGCCACGAGAAGTTTGTGTTGTTGCAGTCTGGATTGGGACACTTCCAATCTCCTTCACGACCTTCTCGGTCGCGACCGCCACCACCGCCTCCACCACGGCCTGAAAACAAATAAAAATCGATCTTAGCATGTCCTTTTGACCAAATATCTGGTTTTTCAGATGCAATACAAATAAGAAAGAAAAATAAAGGCATTTAAAAATCAAACAACAATTTTTATTATAAGAATATGGATAAGATTTTGTAGGAATATGAAAGAATAAGTAATAATACACTCAACTAATAATTCTAGCATAAAAATCACCAACAGTAAAAATATCCCAGCATGCATATTATTCACAGAATAATTAACAAAAGTGTGCATTGCAAGGTTGAGAAGAGAAATGATAACATTAAGCAGATAGAATGAGCTGCATAAAGAATTGGGTTGAAAATTCATTGGGAAGTAAAACATGTAATAATACTTCAACCTCTAGAGACAAAATTGACAGTGACCTCTAAAAATCAAATGCAACAGACTAAATTTGACTGTGAATGTCAATTTTCTCAATGAACTCAAAAAAAGGTTGCCACTCTTACACTGGGCTTCCCCCAAAATAAAATCACCCTCGAGGGGGAAAAAACCATGATTTACCAAGAATCTGTACTAAAAAATATAACGAGCTAGGAATATATTTTGTATAAAAACAATGATTTGTAATGTTTTTTAGATGTAGTAGTAATACTATGAGAGAAACTAAAAGATGGAGCTGGGAATGGTTTTTGGTTGAAAGCAATTTCTAATTCTTTTTTTAAATTAAGTACAAAAAAAATATGATAGGCAAAGGACTAGTCCATTTAGAAATAAAGCCATCTCTGTCTTATGGTAAAATGACAAATTGTAATCGTTTTTAGATTTAGTATATTTAAGAAGCAAATAAAAGTATTTCAGTGTTTTTAATAGGATAAAAAGATTACCATATTATAATGTAAAACATTGTTTCCCTAGACAGGATACACTGAACAACATTTTAATAGCTATTAGTGTGTTTTAATAGAGAACTTACTATACTCCTATCATGAAATCATGAAAAGCTATTCATAAAAGCTTCCCTGAGAGCGGATAGGAGCTGAAACTGTCCAAAACAAATTTAAATTTTAAAACTTACCTCCACCATCACGTCCGCCGCCGCCTCGTGGTCCACCGAAGCCACCGCCACCTCCACCATCACGACCACCGCCTCGAGGTCCTCCAAAGCCGCCGCCGCCTCCACGGCCACCACCGCGTCCACCGCCGCCACCACCGCCGCCTCCGCTCCAAGTATCTTTCTTGGTGGCCAATTGCACTTTTATCATACATCCTTGGAAATCTTTGCCGTCGAACCAGTTGATTGCAGATTGTGCTGCGTTGGGGTCATCATAGGTTACAGTGGCTTCTCCTTTGCTCACGCCCGTCACTTTATCTTTGTACAGCCAGATTTTGCGTTTCTGGGTTTTCTTGTCCAACTGAAATAGAACAATTGTTGAAACGTCTGATCGAAGCTAGCAAACAATACTAATTTTGTATTGAAATAAATGTTACAGAATAAATAATCTCACAATTGATACATAAATTGCGGGGAATAGGATTCTGTATTTATTTAGCGAAATTTCAAAATTGGCTTTGAACATTTATAAGGTTCAAATACAGAGTGCAATTCGCATATTTAGTACTTAATAGTTTCATGAGAACCACAAAATGGAAAAGATAATTCAATACAATGGCTAAATAAAGAATAGTTTAGCTTGTTACTTAGTTATTAATGTATATTTAATGTAAATATTACCTTAATAATACCAATAGATCCAAAATGTTGTTCAATATCATCCTCAGTTAAATCTGGGTTCATTCCAGATACGAAGACTGTGTCCATCTGAATTACTAAATTATCTGCAACATAAAACTCATGTTAAAACTTAGTTTATTAGAAAAATTTTCTTTCTTAAACTAATAGCTGAATGTTGCGCCTCCGTAACACGAATTTCTTTACGACTATTAGGTTTTTATCTCTTGCGTAATGCTAAGTTTACCAAATTGTGATATTTTGACCTTAAAGTAAGTAGTTTTTTAAATATAAACCTAACTTTAGGTTTATTTGTTTTAACACATGTAAAAAATGTGTATATACAGCTTGTTTTGAACCACTTTTCCCATCCTTATACTTGTTTGCTCTGAATAGTTTACCAATAAAAAAACCCACGCTAGAACAACCCATTTATGCTATTGACAACATTTGGTAACATTCATATTATTAACTATTGTAATTCTAAAATATACCGCACCCGCTTTTTAATACGCTATATAGTTAAATATTTTGTTTTCATCTATTATTTGACTTTAAATAAGAGCTGATAAAATAAATTTATACTAGTCTGCAACTAAAATTTTGGTTCCTACATTTACAACAGCTTATTTTATTCCTTTCTTATATTGGTTCTACTAAAATGTGCTCCATGATGCATCTTTGATCTAAGCAATTTATTAAGCTTAGTTTTCTGAATCCATATTCAGATAAGATCATCCCCTTTTTAATGAAGATGTAATTCAATAAGATTGCATTACAATGTTGTTTTGATGCTGTAGATGTATAAATACAGCATCTTCTACCTGATTGTTGTACTTTCCTAGTTTCTTGGTTGTCCTTTATATAGAAAGACTAAGATCCACTGATGTTGCTACCAGTTGAGTTTCCTACATCTAGTTAACCTGAACTAGTTAGGATGTGGCAAGAGGAGAGAGAAGTGATACTAGCCACACATAAGATGCAGGGCATAAGCTTCAAACACCCAAGAATGAGAGCAGATATTCACTCTGGAAGATGAAAATATCTTAAATATCTGGGTATAATACTGTGGACCAAACAGAGCTTCGGTGGACATGTAATATATGCAGCAGAAGCTGATGAAGAACAGCAGAATAAACAAATATCAAAGGACACGTAGAAAATTCTTATGGAAGTGGTCCATTCCATTGTACTATATACAGCAGGTAATGTGTAAACAAAAATACAGAAGAGTTGTGGAGAAAGCTCGGAGAAATGTTAAAAGATGACTGTTGACAGGTGAACCACCAATTCACCTACTAGTGAAAAGAGCAATCACAAAATGACAAGAAGAGTGGAAAACAGGGTGAATGGACATAAACACTCATACTGAATGTGGGAGATTTGGTAGGACATGGCCATAGGGAGTTTTTCACTAGACACAACTCCTTCAAGGCTATCTGGTAAAGATAGGAAAGTAAGATGATGAGGTTGACTGCTGGGTTCACAACACTGCAGAATGTTTTGTGATTGCGTAAGGTTCACAAATATCCTTTTACTCTGAATCCAACATATGCCAGATACACCTTTCAGGATACTCAACTGGTAGTCTTTACGAAGATTTTACACTCTCAACAACAAAAAGAGGTTTCCCAATAGTTTTATATTGCATGTTAACCAAAATTATTATTTTAGTCACAAACAAAAAAGTTATATCCTTGATGAAAATAATTCCAGATGTACATTATCATTATATAGCTTCAAATACTTAATTTAACCTTATTTTTTAACCCCTCAAAAAGATGTATTACATAAATTGGAATATCCCACACTTTTTTAAAACTAGTGTATAACTTCAGTAGAAGGAGTCAAAAGTAACTATGCACATTATCATAAAAGTACACCTTATATTATATATCAATCACCTTAAGCTTAACTCCAAAGTAACACTTTAACCACATTCTTTTTAAATGCTTTCTTGAATTAAAATTAATTTAATTAAATTAATAATTTTCATATCCCCAGAAACAAAAAATGTAGCCATATTAACAAATCCATTAGGAAAATACAACTCTATGCCAATTCAGACCATATAGGACAAAAACATTTTCTTTATATCCATCTGGAATTCTCAGACTGTAGTAATTCCCCATAATTTCAGATACACTGAATTGAAATGTGATAAAATTCACAAAGGATTATTTTACTTTGTTAGGAATATTTAAAACCTTGGTAAACTAATTAAAAAATAGGTTGAATGTATTTTTCTGTATGATGTATCGAAGTTCTGGAATACAAGGGAGATTTTTATGTAATGGGAATTTTACTCAATGATTTTGTTATTCTAACCTCTTTTGAATTAAGTTAAATAAATGATCAAAGGATGCATTAGAGAAGAACACCTCTTGAACTGAATTAAGTAACAGTAAATACAATGAAGACCACCCAATTTTAACAACACCGTCATTTATATTAAATACAAATGTAGAAATTAATATACTTTAAATTACATAAAAATTCCCACATGCAGTGTCCAAAAATATTGTTTTTATGATTCAATTTTTATTATAAAAGATTATTTCCGTATTCAGGATTGTTTGATAAGTTCATATCCAGCTAAAAACTGCACCAATTTATGATTTGCTTACTGTTACTACAAGACATACCGGAAAAAAGGTTATAAATCGTGAGCACACCATTAGTCAGGGTTTGAAGTCTTAGTTGTATTATAGAAAGTTTCATCAAACCACTAGTTTACCCCTCTCATCATATAGGAATGTCTACAATTTTCTGTACACTCAACCAAATGTGAAATAAAAATTTCCAGCATAGCACTAAATGAGGGTAAGGATTTACTAGATAATACCACCCAATTCATAATATAAATGACCTGTTGAGCTGGTTTTGTCAGACAATTACCTGTAAATGGTAAGTCTAGCATAGGCAATACCTTTCAATCTATGTATTTGAAAATATTGGATAATTTTAATGCTGTTTTGTTTTATAAGAAAAAAAAGTGCAAAAGGCATGTAATATATTAATTCAATTATATGAACATGTACTCAATGGAAGAATAAATAGCATTGAAGTGATTATATAGGATGTGTAAGCTATAAAAAAAATAAAATATAGAAAGATGAACATAGATGTGTGGAACAGAGTGATTTTGTATTTTCAGTATTTCAAATGATTTTAGTTAATACAACCCTTTATCATGTAAGTAACTTATCAAACAAACCTTTCTAATATGATCAGACAAAAATTGTCGTCTCTAATGTCTCTAGCAAAAAGAAACACCAAATGTAATATATTTTTTTAAATTCTTATGCAGGAAGTTGTAGTTGTTGCAGTTTCCAAATTGTTTGAACAAATCTAAAACTGGTGTAAATACTTCAAAATAATCCAAACATACTAATCTTTCTAGCTGCTTTCATTCAGTTTGAGCTTATTTTTCCTATAGATGGATGTCGACTTCCAAAAAATATTACATCAGTGTTCCAATTTACTAAAGATTGGCACTAGTTTTTTACTAGAAACGCACGCGAATGTCAGCTTTAAAATAATACTATAACCATAAAAATGTACAAAAAAAGACACCATTGTCGACACAGGACTTGGTGCTTTTACCTTTATTATAACCACCACCCCTGTTGCCGCCTCTAAAACAGAAATTGCATCATCAGTAGTTGTTTGACATAGGGGTTGCTAATTTGCTGCCAAACCAATACACAACTGAAGCATCAACATTACTTGTCAAAAACCTTTCTTCTTCCAAAGGATCAAGTGCCACCTAGATTTTTGTCAGTCAAATGTAATGTCTACATCAGTAAATTGTCATGTCTTGTAGGTTTTATGCCCCTTAAGTTGAGTAAAATACCTTTAACACAAATACCTTATAATACCTTTTCTATTACATGATATAAATACTCATTTTGTAATACCCGATAGTATAAATTAGCCTTTTGAGGACTCCTGATTATTCACATTAATTAACATATACAGATGTAGGATAACATTCTCATACATAAGATGCACACCCAAACATTCTACTTGTAGATAATTATTGAACAAAGTGGTTCGTGTAAAAATTAAAGCAATTTTCCTTCAATTAGGAAGATTTATTGCTTAGGTTCAGAATGTATTATCTGCTGGTATAGTCAATTTTATTTGTCACAATAAATTACACAATTATGATGAAATTTCTTATGGAAACAAATGATTAAAGAACGAAATATGCCACTGAATTCCTTATATACCATAAGTTTAATTTGATAACTTATTTATAACATTTTTCACATTCGCTTGAATCACCCAATCACACTTCATTCAATATCCAATCATTCAATAAGACATTTACAGGTGAAGTCCTCAAAAGGTTAATATCTCAATATTTCATAACATAGTGGTAGGCACCACTGTTAAAAACTCCACGATTATAGAGCAAAACTTATTGTATACCTTGATTATTGATGCAATATTCATAAAATTTAATAACAAAAGCCCAAGTTTTGTCATGTCAAGGAAAATACTCTGAAAATTAATTTAACCACATGATTAGCATATACTATAAAAATACACATATTATATGATTTCATAATATAACTGTAAACCATCCATACCAGCGTGTAGTCCTTACTAACACTCTTCACCAGAAGGCAGTTATTAAATTATGAGATTTATTTAAACAAAACCATTTTTCCTGTAATATTGATGTACCATAATGAAAGACTATTGATGTTTGTACCTAATGTAACCCTTATGCTCCAGGATGTCACAATTGTGTGGTTCTTAACCCACTCACATTAACATATGAATCAAAATTTTATATTAACTTGTTCACGCTGATGCAACCCAATTGTACATTTATTACCAGTTTGAGCACACATGGTTTATTTCATTCACATTTATGTTCACATTTGAGGCTGCAATACCAGCATTGTTTTTCTGTGACTTATGATGGCGAATAAAGGAAGGTTTTACTTAAAAAATTAATTCAAACAGGATTTTGAAACACATCTTTAGATTATAAGTTCAAAAACATTTCAAAATATTTTGAGGTTTTTATTAAATGTGTATACTTTCAAGATAGTATCACAAATGTAACAGCTGGGAGCCATCACACCATTGAGCATAAAGACAAAAGAGGGAATGTAAAGGTAGTGGGGGCAAACATATTGTTATGACAGAAAGTGCGATCTATAGAGGCCACATTAAACAAGGAAAGAGTCTCTCTCCTTGTTTGACATCAAATTTAGTTGGGTTATGTTATTGTTTGTCCCAAATGTCACATGAAATCTTATTTATGTTTAAGTTTTATAACAATTGTGTCACATTTTAGACTATTATCGTTAATAATTAATTAAAACTTTCTCGTCTAAGACACATTCTGAAAAATATTATATAGCTACTGTTGATAAGGGTCAGAAAATTTAAATTTGGCGCATTCGCATTTCTGGATATGTCCGCCAGAGGCCACTTTTTTGGTCTCCTTTTCATGAAGATTAGATTCCCTCTTTTGTCTTTTTGCTCGATGCATCACAGACAAGGTCAGCACTGTAATATTTTTAATTTTTGTGTCTGAAGCACTGAATTTGCAAAAGCTTGCAGCCAATCCAGATCAGGTACACAAACTGGAGTCTGAGTTTGAGGTAGAATGATATAGAGATGATGAATTGTTTGTCATTCAAATGATTCTACATGGAAGTGCTGAGGGTTAGCACCTACAAAAAGTCTACTTCCACCCCAACATGGGTGCAGCCGCCATTTGAAAATAAAGAAATTCCTTTGTTCTTCGAATAGCTAGCAGAATTTATGAGTTATGGAACAAAAAAAAAGGAGAAATTAAATTATGAAGACACTCCTATAGTTGAAACTGAAAAACAGTCTGCTAGGCTAAACAACCACCTTGTAAGGATAAAATATTTGATTTTATCACCAGCCAATACATGAAGATCATGCAAATGCTTTTCTAGAATCCTGCCAAAGTTAATCAAGGGTTCAATGTATCAAGTGAAACCAGAAAAATCAAAATTGCTTAAAGAGTTTCATATTATGTAATTAATTTTCTTACCTAAGACTAAACACTTTCAATATATTTTTATTTGTCATCATGAGCATCCCTGAAACCCTGTTTGATTTCTGAGAAAACTGAGAATTTCTAGTAACATCAAATAAGTCTAAATAAGGTAAAATTTTATCTGCACATTCCAAAAATGTAGACTCAGGAGCATAAGGGATATGCCTGATATTATGGATAACACATTGCCAACAATATGTAAATGTTTTAAATATTGAAAATGTTTTAAATAACCTTATATTTAAACCACATATTAATATGGGTAAGTTAACATTTCAACATCTAATGTGATATTTAGTCTTCATACTGCACTCTAATCTCCATGTTCCCAGTAGACAAACAAGGCAAATCAACCCTTTTATGTTAGACCATATCACACAAACTAGACACAATTTCTTCACATCTAGAACACCAAGGTTGGCTAATCAATATTCCCAAAGGTTGGATTGTTACAGTATTCCAAAAAAATTTAAAGCTCAGCTTAAGAACTGAGTGTGATAACTTTATGTCCTTGTGTTTTATACATTCTTTGTTAATGTTTGTTTTACTGCTCCTACTTTTATTTTTTGTATGCTTAAAATTTTTAAATTTAAATGGGTTACGTTAAGAATCTTCTGTAATTTATCAATGTTTATATTGTATTTTAATTGAAGGATTGTCCGTTGATAGATTAATCTTTATTTTCCAGTTTTCTTGTCCAAACTCTTGGGAAAATATTACTTAAATCCTCCTAAACTTCTTCACCTTTACATAATGTATAAAAATTGAATATACGCAAAACTACATTGTTTTTAGTAAACAGATTATCAATATACAGATAAAAATGCAATTTTTAAAATATCTATGATGGTTAATATTTTGCTTCTTTCAATCTTGGTAGTTAATTTCTTGAAATACACCAAATCTGTATCATATCCTGTTTTCTTTTTTTGTTCAATACATACATAATGTAATACAAATACTAAGCTCAGATATCACTATGTAAACTTTGCTTCATATAAAATTACATATATCACAACCTTCATACTCCTTCCTTAAATTATTTAATAATTGTGTTAAAATACTGAACTTACCCATAACTGTCTCGTCTTTCTACATCTCTTCCACCTCGTTGGTCTCTACCACCTAGATCAAAATATATAGATGTAAAAAATCTTGAATGTTGTAATTTAAATTTGTAGTTTACCTCCATAACCTCCGCCGCCGCCACCATATCCTCCGCCACTACCACCTCCTCCTCCATAACTGCTACCATTACCATATCCACCACCGCCTCCACTGGAGCCGCCATAGCCACCTTGTTGGTAACCACCTCCGCCACCACCTGCAAAAAGATTGATGAATATTACTTTTTAGACCACTTTACTGATGAAATATACCAATCTTTATTTAGGTAATGATTAAATTAAAAATAAAATTATTGTTCAGTGGAAGTTCTACCCTTTGATTTATAGAAAAAACCAAAGGACTATCATTCCCTACTTTGATATTCGACATAGAAGGAGGAAGTAAGCAACTAAATATTACTTAATTCCATGCCTATGTCGCATACAATTTGTATTCAAGAATTCGAAATTTTATTGATTTCAAGCCACGCCACAAGAAAAATGGCGGCATAAAGTGAACTTAACAAAATTTATAGATTCTCCAATTATCCATCAAAAATAAGGAGTACTGATGTAATTACCTTGGCCTCCTCCGTATCCGCCTCCTTGGCCTCCTCTACTTTGCCCCCAAGAGCCGCCACCACCACCGCCGCCTCCAGATGCAGGTGCGGCGGCTTGATAACCTCCAGCAGATGCGCCATAGCCTGAATAGGTACTTGGAGGTGGTTGAGAATAATCTCCATATCCACCGCCTCCTCCACCGTAACCTTTGAACAATGTTTATTTACAACAAACTGCCACATATATAAAAAACGTTGATACAAAATATTTAGGTTCAAAAAATATTTACAAAGACTTGTAATAAAAACAAAAACAACAAACATATTCTTATAATTACGTATTTTAATGAGAGATCGTTAAAATAAAATAGGAAACTTACCATCCGCCATCTTAACTTTCAATAAATTAACCACAAACTTATAAAATTCCTAATGATGCTTAACTGCCGAAAGTTTAACGAGAAATGGGCCGGCCGACTCAACCAGACCGGATAAGCTATTGACATCCCCTAGTGACTATTTTCAGAACTAATTACTTGGCGGAAGTTTAAAGTCATTTTTTAATGACTCAAAAAAATTTAAAAGCTGATACTTTGCGTAAAAACCGTAAAAACCATCGAGCAAAAAGATATAAAAACGCTAATTACATTATTTAAGAATCATAAATACTGAATATGAATTACTCAGAGATATGTAAGAGAGTACTCTCTTACATATTTCTGGAATTACTATAACTCCGTGCTATAATCCTGAAAAGACGGAGTCACAGAATAATCACAATTCTGTGGAATAATCACAGGAATAATAAACAATTGTTTATTATTCTGTGACCGAGTGGACGAGTAAAATTTATTTCATAAATATGTTTGATTTCCAAAAAGTAGTTGATAAAAAATATGATCCAAAAAATGTACTAACGAAAACTTAAGGTGGTATGTCACAATGTTAAAATTTATATACTTTTTAGGTACAGTTATCGTCACTATTTCAAAACAGATCTTCAAGTTATGATTATGTACGTAAACTGTAAACTTTCTATTTTAATGATATCTAGTTAACATTTTCAAAAACAGCAGTATTTTTTTCATAACTGTACTTAAATGCATCCATGTCATAACTTACGTGGTAACGTGCCTAAAAATTGGTATTGTGAAATAATTATTGAACTTAGGTGCAAAATAACTACGTTAAATGATTAACTATCCAAAAACCTTTATTTTAAGCAAATGTTTGTTATCCATACTGCCGTAATTTTTAAATTAACTGTACCTAAAGATAAAATTACAATTAAAAGCTGCAAACTAGGGATTTTGTTGATGTTACCGTAATAAGTTGGCATTTTTATAGTGAGAAATTAGTTCAGCTATCACTTAACAGATGAGAAAATAAGTTCACGTGTCATTTAGTAGAAGGCAGCACTGATGTATTAAATAGCGATAGATGCGCGTTTGCCGAATTTAAGAAAAATCTGCAAAACATTGAAAACTAGTTTTGTGGTTATTCCAATTGTCTATGAGTTATGCAGTAACCATAGTAACGAATCACGTGGTTTTGTTAGCAAGGCGGCCCCTCCCACCAGTAGTTAATATTGTGGCGTGGCTTCGTTTGACTTTCTTTCTATGTTCAATCATGATTGTATAAGGGAACAATGTCTTAAATATACAAGTTTACCATTTTTTTCCTTGGCACCCTGACGTTATATAATCGTGGTTGAAAGTCAAACTATGGTCAGTAAAATTTACTGCGGGATTATACTGGTTTTTACATAATATATAAACATAAAAACAATTCGTTTTATTCAATTTTTAACAAATTTAATTTTTATAGACAAAACAATAGTATGTAATGATCGATTAAATTTTGTCGATTAATTATTTCCGGAAGAAAATAAGATTATTGATATTTACTTTAATATTTACTTGAGTCATAATTAGAAACGAGATGAAAATCTGAAATTTTCTTGAGGAAAACACTTCCCCTGTTGACATTCGATATGAAAAAATTGTTATTATATATTATAATATAATAATTATTATAAATATATTATTAATAATTAATGTTATATATTTTAGATTTCTTATAAATACTGTTTTTATACATAAATAGTCGATCCAATTACCATAATCCCTTTTTGATCATTATTTAAGTACCTGTTTTTCAAACAATTGCAAATTTCTTTTCAGTTTGAAATAAATATTTTTGGGTAGATAAATAATTCAGACTTGTCGCCTGAAATATGAGTAATAAAATACCTCCAAATGAATGAACGTTTTGTGGTATACAAGGTCAAGTAACAAAAATCCCTAATCAGCACATCCAGCTGATTGCTGGTGTAAGTGTAAGGCAATTAAAATTTATGACGTCTGGGAATGTGGTATCATCTTTCATATTAATAATAATATTAGAATTGTATAGTATGCTTAGATACAGTTAGTCGAATTTGGGAAACTGTATTAAAATAAAATCACACTTGTGTAATTTGATACAAAATTAAGCTTTTTGTACGTAGACTTGCGATTATCTGAGGTAATTGGGACCGTGACTACCTCGGATACCGAAAGAACTCTGTCACTGAGATTGGTTATACTGATAGAAAAATGTGTACCTATGTTAATAATGATTAATGTGTTTATTTTAATAACTAAAAACTGATATAAAAGTAGTATAAAAGATAAAAAAAATTAATTTATAAATGTTTTAAAAAAGTCTTTGATTGATTTTTGTTTCAACTTCATTCCTCCTTTTGGGGCGGCGATGTTGCGCCAACGTTGAAAATGAAGGACGTCTAATGGTGTTGATTCTTCTTGTTGCTCAATGTATACGAGAGCTGCTTCAAGGGACTTAAATCCTTCGGAATGAGAAATCTTTTAAGTTATCCCATCTGTATCTTCTTCTTCTTCTTCTTCATGGGTGACGTTTAGACCTAGATTGGCAATTGTATCATCTGTCAGTTCCACTTCATCTAGATTCCTTCAATCGATGATGTCTTGTTTTACGATTGTTTGTTCTACTGGTAATTGATTGGCTAGGTGGGCTATAGAATCAACTTTACAGTCATCAGTTTTATTTTGAACGTCTTGTGTTTTGTTGTCTATCTTAAATAATTTTTTCCACAACTTCTGAGTAGTGGACATTTTTACGTCGTCCCAGGCAGATGCAATCCAATAGCAAACATCTTTAACCGTGATCTTCTTCAATGCCTCAATTACAGTCAGCCCTTCATCCAGTTTATAGTTAGCAGTGGCTGAAGATATGCAGAGTACCTTGAGATATGCAGACGATATAGTCCTGATAATAGATAAGAAGGAAGAGTTACAGAAGATGGTTGAGAAACTAGATAGAAAAGCGACAGAGATAGGTCTAGAGATGAACTATAGTAAAACCAAGACTATGACAAACCAAGAAGACCAATTAGAAATAGTAGTCAAACAGAATAAATTAGAGCAGGTGGCAGAATACATATACCTAGAACAGATAATAAAGCTGAACAGGGACAATCAAACAGAAGAAATAAAAAGAAAAACTAGACTAGCATGGGCCTCATTTGGTAAACTATCATATATTCTAAAAAATAAAAAGTTCCCTAAATATATGCGAACGAAAGTATTCAACCAGTGCATTTTACCAGTTATCACATATGGCTCACAAACAGGACTTTCACAAAGGAGAACATCGACAGGATATCCAAAACACAAAGAGCAATGGAAAGACAGATGCTGGGTATCGGTCTTAAAGACAGGAAAAGAAACTCATGGATCAGAGAAAAAACAAAGGTGAACGATGTATCAAGACAGGTTGCAAAACATAAATGGAACTTCGCCGGTCACACTCTCCGGCAAAAAGATGAAAGATGGAATAAGCGAATTCTACACTGGAAACCATGGGAAAAGAAAAGAAAAAGAGGAAGACCACAGATGAGATGGACTGACGATCTTAAGAGAAAGGCAGGAAAGGACTGGATGTAGATCGCAGAAAATAGAGACTAATGGAGATTAACAGGGGAGGCCTATGCCCAAGAGTGGGCGTCTAAGGCTGATTAGATAGATAGATAGATAGTACCTGAAGAAGCTTCCGCCGATAATTCCTCTTCATTCCTTATATAACGTTTTGGTCTAGGGTTGGATGAGAGATGTTACATGGGGTGGAAGGAACACAGCTTGTATGTCACCACTAATCAATTCCCTCACATATGGGTGGGATCGTGCGTTGTCCAACAACAACAAAGCTTTTTGGACCAATCCACTACCACCACTCACACTTCGGTTTACCCACTATTCGATTTCATTCGGCTTACGCTTCCAATATCCAACAGTTACTTCTCCGACATCTAAATCTAAAGAAACCTTCTTTATTGATTCACCCTTGTCCAACCTCTTAATTGTATTCACTTTTGTTTCCAAAGGTGCAATTACTCTCTTTCGTTTTCCACTCATATTGCACAGAAAGATTCTCTCTTACATTCACAAAAATCAACTTATGAAAAATTAATTATGAAACCGAAACTAATAACTGGAATAAATTCACAAAACAGTACATAAAAGGAAAAATATTACCGTACAGATACTTAATTTGACGATCTGAACGACAGCAAACAAATCGGTAGTTCAATTCACATTGATTAACATAGAAAGTAACAGGAAGTTGTAGACAAAACACCACACAGAAATTTCTGCACATGAAATCTCTTTCACATCAGCTTGACCTAAAGCATACCTTACAAATAATTCTCTTCTTATCAATAATCCAAAATTTTCAATTGATTGCCCATATAACAGCTGCCGATATAACTTCTGACCATCGACCCCTTTTTTTATTACTCGATATTGTGATTCAATAAGTACGACTATAAAGGTAAATAAAGGTAAAACCAAGGCAAAATTTTGCCTCGATTAACCTACGGTACCTAAAAGTATATTCGAAGAAGCTTCCGAAGAAGCCCAAATTTAAATTACCTCCAATCGAGTTCAAAAATTATTCAGAGATTGCAGTCTAGGTTTGGCATAGAGGATCTCCAAATTGAAGTTTACATTAGAGAGCTCTCAAAGTTAATTTTAAGTCGAGTTTCTTAGTATTATATATATATATATATATATATATATATATATATATATATATATATATATATATATATATATATATATATATACCGGGTGGTGAATCGTCAAACGGACCATAGGAAACTCAATGGTAAATTCTAAATTGTTGAATTCCTGCTTCCCTAATTATTTTACACCAAAAGTCATGGGAAACTATTTGTAGAGGACTCAAATATGTATCGAAAACAACTGTTAAAATTATTCTACGACTTAAACGTATTCCAAAATTTTGCTAAAATATAATACATTTTTCAGGCCACCCCTAAAAGTTAGGCCACACGTAATGCAAGAATATATATTATTACGTTTGTGTTTTATCATATTTATGTCAGATGTTTGACAATTTGAATTGTCAATTTTTTTATTTTATGATTAAATTATAAACAA